GAATGAATGAATGAATGAATGAATGAATGAATGAATGAATGAATGAATTCTTTATTGGCCAAGTGTGATTGGACACACAAGGAATTTGTCTTTGATGCATATGCTTTCAGTGTACATAAAAAGAAAAGATACATTCGTCAAGAATCATAAGATACAACAATTAATGATAGTCATAGGGTATAATAAGCAATCAAATCATACTAGGAAACAGTCAATATAAATCGTAAGGATACAAGCAACAAAGTTACAGTCATACAGACACAAATGGGAGGGGATGGGTGATAAGGAGTGATGAGAAGATTAATAGTAATAGTAGTGCAGACTTTGTAAATAGTTGGACAGTTTTGAGGGAATTTCTTGTTTAGCAGAGTAATGGCTTTCGGGGGAAAACTGTTCTTGTGTCTAGTTGTTGTGGTATGCAGTGCCCTATAGCATTCTTTTGAGGGTAGGAGTTGAACCTGTTTATGTGAGGGGTCCAGGATGTGAAGGGTCTGTAAATATTTTCATTTTTATATTTTAAAATATAAAAATATTTTAGAATTGACTTCTTTATGAAGACACTCCAGTCCTATCTAAATTCAAAAAACTGGTATCTGCAATGCATCTGATTTGAAAATCAACCCAAGCAGAAGTTAGAAATTAGATCCTGTAGTTTTTCTTGTTAATATTAGAATCAAAGGAGCCCTCATTAAACATGTCGTTCTGATTGAATGCAGGATGAAAATCTGATCCACCTATATTTGCAGAAAAGGCTCCACAAATTACTGGAAAGCCCTGTCCTTCCTCTTTGCCCTCGAGGAGATTAACCAGAATCCCCAAATCTTACCCAATGTCACCCTGGGCTACAATATTCATGACAACTATTTTAACACAAAGGTGACCTCGGAAATTTTGTTGGACCTGCTTTCAAAGGGAGAGGCAGATATTCCGAATTATAACTGTGGAAAATGGAGAAACACACTGACGGTGCTTGAAGGAGCTGATTCAGACATGTCCATTCAGATATCAAGCATGCTGAACATCTTCAAGATCCCACAGGTAGATCTGTGCATGCATGAGAGCTTGGTCATTTGAAAGGGAATAGAATAAGAATAAGAATAAGAATAGAATAGAATAGAATAGAATAGAATAGAATAGAATAGAATAGAATAGAATAGAATAGAAT